AGTTTTCTTAGTCTTTCTTGCATTAGCTCAATTTGTTGTTGTTTCATAGGGTGATTAATTTGAAGGGTTATATCCTTCATCTTCAATCATGTTTGCCACATCCTTCCTAAGTTCGTTGATTTCTTCCTGAGTTGTTATTATCTTCTTAGCTTTTCTCTTTTGTCGAATAAGTTTATCAAAAAGTAGTACTTGGATAAAAGTGTTATCCTTGATTAAACGCCCTTCTCTCCTTGACCAAGTCTAGAAAGGGAAATTAGGGGTAAATTTTTATTTTTGACTCAAGCTCTATTCAACGTGCAATAAATGAGAAGAGACCATGGAAGAAAAAGAAGAATAATATGGGTGAAAAAAATGATATAGATAGAGACGTATGAAAGAATTTAGGAATAGAATGGACCCCCAACTCAAATGACTAAAAGGACAACTCATGCATGAACCTAACACATGGTCATGGTGTACAAAGTGTGTGAATACTTGTGAGTGTAGGTGACATGCTTTGACTCGTGTCATGACCATGTTGTTATGTGCTTAGACTCGATTAAGGACTAAACATGACTACTGTCATTAATAAACTGGTTAAACAGATTGAGCAAACCGATTAATTAGACTCGAGTAAAAACATAAACTATCGCTAGAGCAATAGGATTGTTGTCACACGCTAAGGACCAGCGCCAGACGACAGCATTGTCGCCTGGATCTAAACACTAGCGCATGGCGCTACAATCCAAACCTTTACGCCATTGCTAGAACATTGGTCAAGGACCGTTTCCAGTATTTTACTCTAAAGGGACAAGCCTAAAGTCGTACTAAGTCAAGTTCGATCAATTTATTTAGACTATAATCATTTAATCTAATTAATTTAGCAAATTCCTTTAGTCATTAATTAGTTCATTTAGAGTCATTCACAAGTCAAACAAACGGTTAGTGTAAACACATATTGGTTATGCACAAGCAAATAATGCACAAGTAGTTAAATAGTCACAGTACAATATCATGCAATGAGTTTTCAACCTAACCATGGTTCTAGTTCTCTAAAGTTCAAGGATATGGGTTAGTCAAAGAGGGTCCATGGTTATGAGTCCGGATGCACCGAGCGGAAGCCTTACCTTTGGAAGGGTTGGCGCAAGTGGATGGGACCCCGCGAGTTAAACTCGCTTCCACGGTTTAGTGAATTCAACAAACTTGGATGTACCCTTCGTTGCAAGGAGCGATCGATTGGGTAGATGGAGTGTGAATTCCCAAAGGGTTATGGCCATATGTAGAACACATATTTGTTCAGAAAAAAGGGAAAAACTCAATCAGTAAGTAAAACCGAGCAAATAATACTAGAACTCGGCGAGAGACTACAATGCCCGTCGCTAGACCATGGCACTATCGGCAGACGATAATTACTTTCGCCAGGCGACAGAGTCACCGCTTAGCGATGGCGTTGTTTTCTCAGCGCTAGTTCCTACATGCCTCAGCAGCTTTCTGTTCTTAGAATTTTCCGGTTTTTCGCAACGTTATTTCGATTTTAGTTGTGAAAGATATTTTCCTAATTTCCTACGTGTAAAAATCCTATGTTTTTTACGCATTAAGGATGGTCTTTCCAATGCGACCTTTTTTATGCTTAAGCCAATAATGTTAATCAAAATTACGCACATGAAATACTTAGAAATTTTCGAGTCTCATCCACTAATTCTAAATTATTACCAAAATAAATTTTAGGAAATAAAATATAAATCCTCCCTAGTGAAGTCGCCAACAAACTGTAGGGAATATTTCAAGCATCCCACACTGAGCCCCACTGTGATCATACACTTAAGCATGGTGGCGTCCAAAGGGAAGGAAGCTAGAGTAAAAGAGTCGCCAACAAGTTTTAGGAACTTGTAAACCATTCACAGTGTGAAGGTTACACCCCTTCACGATCCATGAGATCGCTAACTCCATAGTGGTCTGGAACCATAACTAGATATTCGGGGATGAAGGTACAAATCCAACCTAAAAGAGATTGAACCTGCCCTAAAAATAGGCCTCTACTTTATTCTTCTCGTATTAATATGCGCTTTCTGACTAACATGCAATCAATAGGTTAACCCTAAACCTGTTTAATCTATGTTGGTTGATAGTAATGCACAAACAAATCTATTATTGGCGATCACTTGAATTATAATCATATTAGCCTAAACAAGATTGTTAATTATCTTATTAAGCGTGATTACAAGTACAAATTCCCTTTAAACATGCATAAAAGGCGTGATCAAGAAATAACAATATTATTATATCAAGCAACATAATAATATTGACAACAATCATCATCATTATAACAATAATCTCAATCTCATCAAAGCATGATAATAATAGCAGGATCCTAGGCATGATACTAACAAGATTAATAACAAACTCTAGCATGTCACTAAACAATAAAGATTAAATCTTTATTCCTAACATGATACTAACATGATAGAAGGAAGAAATAGGAAGCATCATAGAACCATACATGATATTAGAAATATTAGTTATTATCCTAAACATGATACTAGGAAACAAAATAATCAAAGCATGCTTTCTATATCAAAATAAAAATTAAAGTAAATTACGTACCTGGATGCCTCGTATCTCTTTCTAATAACAAAATATACACGTTAGTAACTTCAAGGAAAATAATAAATCAAACAATTAAATCAAATAATTGAAATAGAGATTTGGGACCAAACCCTCAGAAATTATAAACCTTTCACGTCTAGGGCGAAGGCAACTTCGAACTTGGCTAGGTATGTCTAGAACTAATGTATGTGGAATTTTGTAAGAGGGAAAGGTTTAGAAAAAGAATAGAGAGATAATAAGTTTCTAGATTTAGAGAGAAGAGAGATTGATGGTTGTGAATGAATAAAAACGGGGAGATACGACCCCTATTTAGAGAAATAGTCCGAAAACTATAGAAAATACTTCAAGTTCTATACGGAATAAAATTGGCATTTGTCGTCAGGCAACAGACATTAGCGCCAGGTGACAACATATGTCGTTTGGCGACTGACTCTGTCGTTTGGCGCTAATTAAAAGATAAAAGCGCTTTGTACGAAATCCTTTTCTTAATATGATTAAGCAGAAAATTTCATGTTTATAAAATCGGATTTATCATAAAACACTTATTTTATTCCAAACAAAACTCTTTAAATTATAATTATCAATCCTAATACTATTAGAATTTAAAAGAACCTTCTAGATTATTCTAGAAGATTAAAAGTCAATCCTAATAACTTTAGGAATAATAATTAATTGGTCCTCCTCTAGATCATTGGGCCGCATAAAAAATTCATTTCGGGCCCATTTTAGTATTTTGGCCATAACTTCCTCATTATTCATTGGAATTGGGCTTATAATATATCGTTGGAAAGCTCTTCTCGAGCCCGATCCAACTAAACTAATATTGGACCCTTATTATGGACCAAACTAAATTAGACTGGCTATTTTTCATAAACAAGGTATGAAAAGGAATATTTTCGAAAACAGAAAGAAGTATTTTTATTAAAAACAACCGCATCACTAGACTTTTCACGCTTTCGCTTTGTTCGATAATCAATTACGTGAAAGATATTCATCACTGAGTTTGGTTTTTGGGGAGACACATTTGGGTGTCTACACCTACGAAATTAGCAATTTGATTTATAAACTGTGTATTGCACGGACAGTATACTAATAATTTAAATATATGAAAGTCCTAACTTTCAACATTAACTAATTGATAAATTTAGTCTCCATTATGTACAATATCATCAAATCTTTATACCTATACACTTTATACCACAAAATTGAAAATAAAAATAAGTCAAAATTTTTAAATCACCAATCACTAAATGAAAAGCCAAATTAGATAATACCATTGACCATCTACTTATTATAATTAATCCTGCGGCAAGTCAAACTATTTTATTCTCTATTTTGCATTTAATTACACAACCCGCCCATAACTACTTTCTCCGTTTTTAAATACTTGTTCTACTTTTTTTTTGGTCTGTTTTCATTATTTTCTCCATTTCCTTATTTGGAAATATTTTACTCTTGTAATATTTAATTCATTTCTCTCATTTATTGGACTCAACATAAATCACAATTTATTAATTTCATATTCTCTCTCCTCCAATTATCTCAACTACTTTTGCTTTTACAGTTATTTTTCATTCTTTCCCATACCCCACTACCTTCATATTTTATTATTTTCTCCTATTTCTTTCAAAATTCTACACATGAAAAATGAAACAAATATTTAAAAACAGAGGGAATAGTATTTATAAATATCAATAAGTACAAAATAATAATATTGACATTTTGAAAATACACATTTGTAAAATTTATGAATAGTGTCAAAAATCAAAATGTGTTATGTCATTTTAAAATGAGAAAGTAGAACCTGTTCTCATTAACTGAATTCAGCTGAGCTGAACTGAACTGAACTTAATTAGAGTTATTAATTAGTGATTTTTAACTATGGATTAGTGATCTTTGATTATTTATTATTATACATATGTGTATATACAAATATACATATTAGAATTATTATAATTATTATTATTATTAAATATTACTATTATTATTATTAAATATTATTATTATTATTAAATGTTATTAATTATTATTATTATTATTAAATATTATTATTATTATTATTAAATGTTAATAATAATAATTATTATTATTATTAATATTATTATTATTAAATTTTATTATTAGTTATTATTATTATTATTAATTATTTTTATTATTATTATTAAATATTATTATTATTAAATATTATTATCATTAATATTATTATTATTATTATGATTATTATTATTATAATTAAATGTTATTATTATTATTATTATTATTATCATTGTTGTAATAAGAGCTTAAAAGAATGAAATTGACTTTATATCATTAGCAATATCATTAGACATAAACTGAATTGAACAGAAATGAACTAAACTGAACTGAACTGATTATAGCTAAAATGAACAGAATTGAAAATAAACGTATGGGAATAGGACCTAAGCCTTTGTTGTTTATACTATTTTACTTCGTAGATCAATGGGGGCCAGCCCGTGTTGTTGGTACACAAACATCAAAAGTAATTTATTTTTGGGTTTTTCTAAGCTATGCCCCTAAGGCAGTCGAGATTCTAAGGTGTACCCATGCTTTTTCAAATTTCTTAATTGTGCCCCTCAACTCACTACCATTAAATGAATGGTACCCTCCTTGGGACTTCCACGTCACCTAAAGTTAACTATAAATTTAATAAAAAAATGATAAAAGATAAGGAAATGATACGAGAAAGAAATATTAACCACAACAACCCTAATAATGAAAACTAAAGCCACGAAATCACACTCTCAATTAACTTTTAAATAACTAATAAGGGTACATTTTAGTATTGATAAGAAGTTGAAAGGCACGGCTTAAAAATTTGAAAAAGCATGGGTACACCCTTAGAAACTCAACTATGGGTATAGCTTAGAAAAATTCTTTTTTTTTTTTTTTTTTTTGGAAAGAAAAAATCAAAAGTAATTAGAATTGAAAGAAAATGAATAGAGAGAAAGAGTCAAAGAGAAGACATTGATTCACAATGGTTAGACTTTAGAGGTTGAAGAAGAGCCGCAGTATGCCAACGGTTTTGGGGAGTGATAAGAGAAGCCATTGATTTTAGCACGAAAAATGGACCCCAAATATATAGCTCGAATTCTGGTAGATTTTCTGGAAGTGGCCATTACTTCCATTGTTCTCCACAAAGGTGTTTACCCTACTGGTACGTTGTCCAAGAAATGAGTTTACTTAACTAGGATATTTGTTTCAGTAATTAATCACATTCTTCTGAATATGAGTTTATTTTATGTGAATGAATTTGTAATATGTATTATGTGGAATGATGGTTTAATTTATGTGAATGCATTTGTAATCTGTATTATGTGGAATGATGGTTTAATTTGTATGGTATTTAAGTCTTTTCTTTTCGTGGTTATGTTGATTGATATAGGAGCATTCGAAAGACGAAGATACTTAAATATGGTGGTTCATAAAGCAAAGCATCCTGAACTGCAAGACTACATTCACTCTGCTGTTAATGGACTCTTTCCTTTCCTTGAAAAGGTTTCTTTCTGATTTCATGTACTATTTCCGTAACATATTATGTGCAACTTTTGAATTTTTTTAATATCACAAATAATTCCCAAAAGTTGCACATAATATTATGTAACGGAGATAGTATTCACTTTGCCTTTGACGGCTGTTTGATAGGTGGCCTAAATAATTGGAATGAGAATGAATTTGTATGAAAATTTGTAAGGAAAATCAAAGTTCATCCTCATGATGATGCTAGTACAACCCCAAATTGTCCATTTTTCTATATAAATTTTCATTAGTAACTCCTCCCCAAGTGGTAATGGATGGTAATAAAAATCACGATGAAAACACATGCTTGAGGATGAATTGCGTTACAATGTCAATTTCCTTCCTAATTTGCTCTTCAAGTCCATTCCAATTATCACCATTTATTACCTGCTACCAAACAGGCCATTTGAAAAAGTATGTGTCTGTGTGAATACAACATCATTAAGTCAGTAACTGAGCCTATCTGCATTTTAGGGATTTGTTGACAGAGTAGCAGTTATATTCTTTGATTTCAAGGGCAATCCATTGGAAAGATATAATTTCAAGCTTCAAGTGAATCAATCTTATGGATCGAATGTGGAAGAAGATGACCTTGAATTCTCTCTTAGATCATTTCTTGTCAAGCTCTCTTTGTCTAAGGACCTTGTTAGGGTTCTCCCTGGGGGTATGAGTTGAGAAGTCTGCCTGCCTATATATAAGTGTCAATGCTCTTTTACTTCAGAAACTCAAAATTCCTACAGTTTATTTACTTAAATTTCATTGTCTTTTTGGCTAGGAATTTTTCTTTTATCTCTAATCTTTTTTGGGTCCAGATTGCAGGTGGGAAGTAACCGCTTTTTTCCGTTCTGAAGCTCAGATTAGTGCAAGCAATGATCTGGAGCTATGGATACCAACAGACACAAAGCAATGGCAGAAAGCTCCACTGATAACTCCTATAAAGTCCATGAGTTCTGAACCTCTAGGTTTACAGTTGTATATGGAGCATCCTGCTTTGCCTGAGTAAGAAGGTTGATTAATCTAGTTCTACTTCTAATCATTATTACGGTAAATGTTCTAACCTTTTCCAACTTTTTTAAAACCGCCAGAGGCAAAGTTTCTAATCTTATGTACTGTATTAGTGTTGTATGAATGTGAAATATTGGTACACTGTTTGCATTTATCAACACTAATTCTGGTCATGATGGTCAGACATCTCCTGTCAGTTTGTCATTAAAGAGAACCCGGTTCTTATGAGTATGTGTCAGGGAAATAAGCTCCAAGGGCCTATTATTATATAGGTAGAAGAAATAAAATAATCATTGAGATGTGAATCTGGTTAAATCGTTAAATTAGCTTAGGTTGAGTGAAATCGTAAATCTTTAATGATCTAAAAATGTAAAGTAATAAATCGCCGACTTTTCCTTTCTATGGGTAATGTGAAACAAGCTTTGAGAAGCGTAGAAAATATACAGAAAAAACTGTTGTAGGCACCTCATTCTTATGAGAATTTGGGGTCCTTTTAGTTCAAGTTGCCACAAAGAAGGTGCATGTATGCAATCAACAATCTGTGAAACATAATACCTGAAACAGGACTACAAAATAATACTGCAACAAATGAAAATGAGGGGGTAACGCTGGATTGAACTGGATTAAATTGGTCACTCTCAATAGTATTGAAATAACTTCCCTGAGCAATAAATAAAGAGCCATAAGAATTGTAAAAATTAAGTACATCAGTATGAACTGAAATTAATGTGCATTGGATTCTTCTAAGTGATAACACAATCTTTTTAACCAAGGAACAGAGGTAGAACAAGCCAAGTCAAAAGAACTTTAAGGTTGTGACAAGGTGCAACAGAAAGCTAGAGTTACTAGACACCAGAGAGCAGAGACCACCCAAACTGAATTGAAGCGCTAGAATAAGGATATATGAGAATTTCGATCCTTTAGACCATGCTCATACTGGAATATGCCTTGGTTTGTTTAAGAGGCAACAAAGGTGTAAAATTAAGCTAGGATACAACTACTTGAGTTAAAACTGGAAGTGGAGAAAATGGAAGAAGTGGATGAGATTTATGATTGATAAGGAAAATATCTTAAAGAAGAGTTCAGAAAAAACCCATATTCCCTCTACACATCAGGCAGGCCTTGTTACCACAATCTCAACAAGCTGGAAGATTTAGCTTACAACCTGGAACTCGAAGTACAGGTCCATGCAGAAAGAAGAGAAGCTGCTAACTATAGAGGCATCCATCAAGCTTTTTGTAGGTCCTTACATTCAGTCTTAAGGAAGCTTTGGCTGCTAAATTCTGACAGCACTTGCTGGAAGTTGAATTATCACTGCACTAGCTAACTGCGGATTCTTAGCAAACCAACCACGTCTTGAAAAAGGAGAACCAGTTTATCTAAAGGAGAAAGCTTAGTAAACAGTCAAAGCAAACCCAACTAAATTAAAAACCATGCATTTTAATATTCTCATAAATCATAATGATATTTTGGTTAGCTACCTTGGAATTTTGGGTTCATCTGTTGTAGGGAGTCTAGCCATAATTAAGTTAGGGGAAATATAAATAGGAACCTGGTAAAAGAGGTTGGAATCGATAGTACTCTTTACAGTAGAGAGTGATTCTTATAGAACCTCGTTTATAGGCATAGAACCAGTACAGTTATTAGTTCGGATGCATTACACTTGAGAGTGATTCTCTTCTTTAGGATTGAGCTATCAATGCTACTAGTTAGTCTAGTGTGCGAAAAGCTATAGCTGTATCCTTAGGGGACTCAAGCTTCAGGTGTGAAAATGCTCAATCCCTACCTGATGTTTAATAATGTAAGCACCTAGTAATCTAGCTACTGCAGTCTGTGAGAAGTGAAGGCAAACTAAACGCCGGTACATAGCTAGTATGTGAATTAGTCTATCCATTGTGTCACTTGATTAGCCTAACTCTTAAACTGTAGGGTTTCAGACTTAACCTTCTTGCACGTCTTAGTGTCTACTTTGTTAAGCTAGTCCACGTAAGATAAATCCTTGAATCCAATATTGAGTGATAGGCTTTTTCAAGCTTCAATGGTTCCAATAGCCTAGGGATGACAATAAATCGTGTTTGGATTAGGTGTTGCGTCACAACTCTTGCCATCTGCTTCACCTTTTTTATCCTCCAACTGCTTAAATCCTTCATCCATACCCGTCCATTCATCATCCATGGATGAATTTTGTGATTTATGGGTGATAAAAGTAATAAAACATGACTTGAAATAAATTCCAACAAATGTTTGTTTCACAAATAAACAATTTTAAGAAGTAGCACATATATCTAGATAGCAACCAAAATTCCAAAGAAGTTTTTTATATATATAGATATATATATATATATATATATATATATATATATATATATATATATATATATATATATATATATATATTTATATATATATATATATATATATATATATATTCAAATGAGCCTTATGCGTAACACTGATGGACATTAGTACATAAATTTTATCAAGTTTAACAATGCATACCATTTACTATATTGACTAGTCATTTCACTTAACTTCTTAATTGCCTAATGGAAATGGTTAATGGTATTCTTCTACATTATAAAAGGCTGGTGATAACTAGGTGATGGATAATACTTTCTCTGTTCCACAAATATTGCAATAATTACCACTTTAGAAAATTTCACAAATATTGCAACAATTACCACTTTAGGAAATTTCACTAAATTGTAACATTTTTCTATTTGCACATGTTTTCTCTCTTTACCTCTCCTCATCACATGGATCTCTAGCTTTATTCCTCTTTATCTCTCTCCTCTTCTTAAAATCCGTTTTCCATCCCTATATTGCAATATATAGGGAGTGGATGAAGTAATATGATGTACACCATCACTAGATTCCGACCTGATCGTAACCTGCTTCTCATTTACTTATGTCACTAGGAATTAGCATGTTTACAGCACCCTAAAAATTGCAGAAAATAAGAAGAAAAATGGTGATCATATTGATAAGATGAAATTACACTAATTCAAATGATTATTGCACTTTCGAGAGGTGGATGCTCTCTAAGTACGAGCTTTCGAGAGGCACACTCTCTCCTAATAACAAACCTCAAAATATTCAACTTGTCCTTATTCTTCCTAATGAGCCGTTTTATGGGAAATTCCCCCTAACAAACCTCTAACTTATTCCCTAAGTTACTATTTATAGACTATGACTTACATGCCCTCCCCTAATGAAGAGCTCAAATCAGGGGCCAAAAATGATGGTGAGTGGTTGTAGATATGATAATTTCTGCGACAGCTGATTGGATGGCCAAGGCGGTGGTGAGTTTACCTATGGAGAAGCAAAGTCAGTGGTAGCCCTTTTAGAATGGCTTGTGGAATGTAATTTCCAAAAGATCCCGAATGATGCTTGAGTATGGTAGAAGCTTTATTGACTTGGGAAAGAAGACAACTCTAGAAGATGATGCTAGTAAGGGCAATATGGTAAAAGACAAGGGTTGTAACAAAATGATGATAGCTCGGGTCACGTGCATCCAAAAAAGGTGAATTAAGAGCGAGCAACCAAGCAAATCCAATTAAAATTGGTGAAGTGATGTTAGAGTCAAGACCCACTTATTTTAAGTCCTATTATTCTTTTGAAAGTGAAAGACAAGCAGTTAAGCTTATTGACAATAGACCCATTTTACAGCCCTACATATCAACCTCCATTATCCTAACCCTCTTTATGACAGAGCACACCTTCTGATAATCTATTAATTAGCCCCAACGTTCTCACCCATTCGTCTAGCCCACAATATTCCAACTTTGACTCTAAACACTCCATCCAGCGAGGACTATTGTCTAGAGCTGTCAAAAATTAACCCGACCCGAAATACCGACCCAAACCCGATTATTAATCGACCCGTAATACCGACCCTAACCCGATTATTAACCGACCCGTCTGAACCCGGAAAAAATGGTGACCCAGACCTGACTGACCGACCTGAAACCAACCGTAGACCCGAGTTAACCTGAGAATTTGAGACCCAAACCCGAACATGACTGACCTGGACCCGAATATAATTCATAAATTATTAACCTAAACCGAACCTGACCTGAACCAAAATTGACCCAAACCCGTTTTAACCCGCCAAAACCCGAATTTAACCCGACCTATTACTAACCCGACTTGAATTCATCCCGACTTGTTTCTTACCCAAACCGAATTTAACCTGATACTAACCCGACTCGAAATTCAACCCAATCTGTTACAAATCCAACCCGAAATCAACTTGACTTGTGATTGACCTGACCCAAAATCAACTCAAATTATTATTTTATACATCTTTATTATTGTAGATATTGACTATCTAAATAAAGGTATATGCTATATACATTATAATCTACTTGTAAAGTCATAACTTGGTAAGGCTAAAACTACACTATGTTAATATTGAAAGTATTTTGTCTTTACTTGAACCGAACCTGCAAATTATTGACTTGAACCGAACCCGAATTGAACCCAAGAATGACCCGACTTGGAAATGACCCGACCTGAATATAACCCGCAAATTATTGACTTGAACCGAACCCGACTTAAACCCGAGAATGACCCGACCTGATTATAACTCGTAAATTATTGACTTAAAACTGAACCCGAGAATGACCATAACTCGTTTTTACCGTGAAAACCCGAATTAAATCCGACCTATTATTCACCCGATCCGAATGTAACCCGGCCTAAATCCGACCCAAACCCGATAAGATGTATGACCCGACATCACCCGACTCAATCATGACCTAACCCGAATCTGACCCACATAGGTTACGACATTAACCCAAATTACCTGACTCGAGTTGACCCGACCCTTAGCCGACCCAAACCCTACTCGTTCACCCGAATTGACAGCTATACTGTTGTTCATCCTTTAGGCCACAAACCAATCTATTATGCCTCCAACTCTACCATCCTACTTCTATCATCATTCCATAGCAAGTCCTAGAAAAAAAATATATAGCTCAACCATTGAAGGATGAGCAAAACCTCACTGTTCAGGAGCCTTATGACAAGCTAAGCAAGTGTGACAGTGATCATATCAGTGCTTCCAGTCTCAGGAATCAAGTGCTGACTACTATCCACCTTGAGGACAAGGTGAAAGTTTGGGCAACAGGTAATGCAAGGAATCAATATTTAGGGGAGGGCATGTTAGTCATAATCTATTAATAGTAACTTCGGGAATAAGCTAGAGTTTCGTTAGGGGGGATTTTTTATAAATAGGCCTCATTAGGAAGAATAAGAAAATGTTGAATATTGTGAGGTTTGTTATAAGAAGAGAGTGAGCCTCTCGATAACTCATACTTAGAGAGCATCAATCTCTCGAAAGTTGAATCATCATTCGAATTAGTGTCATTTTTAGTGTTGTAAACATGCTTATTCCTAGCACATCCATTTAGAAATGGCATCCTTACTATAGATTGTTACAATATTTCACGCTTGGTTACTATAGACTGTTACAATATTTCACGCTTGGTTATATGGTTTTTTCGCTCTAATTTAAATTTAGTGGGTTGGCTCACCCAAGCCAATAAAATCATGATATTTGAGTCTTTAAGATTGTGAGCTATGTTTAGTTACAATTACAAAATTCTTGTATAATCAAAACAGGACTTTAAAGAAGAGAATTACTCTCAAGATGCTAAAGACCTATACTAACTAGCAAGATTCTTGCATGATTAGAACACCAGGAAGGAGCTTAATTCATCCATGAAGAAATTTCTTTGTAAATATTAAAAATTGAATAGCCTCAGTGGCTTTATTACAATTTCTAGTAACTTGCTAGGTAAGAAAAACCATAAATGTTGTGGTTGACCTCTGGCTGTGGTGAAATGTTTAGGCTGCCTGGTTATTAGACTAGATGAGTTTGTTCTTTGTTGCAGATATAGTGCAACTCCATGCTATTTTACTAAGTGAATAGGTAGATTTTATGGCTCAGTACACAGTTTTTAAACTTCCTTGTCTTGGATAAATCAGGTAAGCACTAAGCAAACAGATCCCCATTTGAAGTCAGTGGAATATTGAACATCCAGAGAAATTATCAGCTGGATAGCATTGGAGCAAGTGAGGATGATTACCTTATTTACCCTAAACAATTTACTGAACCTAAGACTCAAAAGAATTTTGGTAGGAAGGTCAATCCCATAAGAAGACCCTTACATGAGTGTTTAGAACTTTAGACCTCTATTAAACACGAAAGTTTGAGCAGTTTTTCTGTTGTGCCTTCAATAATTATCTAAAACATTGATATCTCATGATTGTATCATCATAAGTGCATGGAGGAAGAAATATCACTTTATTACATGTTATTCCTAATTAATCATTCACTTTGTCCAAAACTCTTAGGCACTCTCAAATTAAACAAGTTAAGACCCAACCTTTGAACTTTTGAAGAAGAATTTTTTATTTATTTTTTCAGGAATTTCTAACCTTAAAGTTTGTTGGTCATATTGCGGAAAGAATTCGCTTTCATGTGAAGCTTGGGGTTGACAAAGTACTTTCCTAGTCAAGGCCAAACCCCTGCCTTCATTAGAAGGTATAATCATATCCTACATCTTTCCTATTCCTCCACAGAGGTCCCATTTTCCTCTAGAAAGCATGCTTTCTAAAGCGTTCATATCCCCCTCGTAACAATGAGTTCCAACTCCCTAGTGTGGCATAACGACCAGCTAGAAGGATGCAAATAAGGACTCTGTAAAGGAGAAACATCAAAACCTCAATTGGAAAGATGAAATCTTCTTTAAACACTTTAGTCAACTAAAGCTCATTATCTGTATTTTTAATCACCTTTAAATAATCAAACCCCACTATTTTCTGTTTTAGATTCTCCTTTAATCATCCCTAACCCCCCCTTTTTTTTTTTATTCAACTCCGCCTGTGGGTTAGTGACATTAGTGTAAAACTTTGTCACATCGCTTGATATGAGCCACAATGATAGAGAGACATGAGAGTATTGTTAGGATTGGTGACCTCATAGGAAGTCTTCATGTTGTTGGTTCATGTAGCCAACCCCTTTTATGGAATTAAGGCATTCAAGTAAGATAGAGGGTGATTATCTTACTTTTTTTCACCTTGCTTAACATTTCAACATGTGTGCAAAAGGCAAATGTGACTTTTATTTGGGGAATGAGAGAGTGTGATACATCTATAAAAAAGGAAGTTGTCTTAGGACTTGTTCTCTTCAACTTATTTCAAATACTTATTATTTATTCCTTAATAAATTCAGATCAAACCAGTAGACTAGAAACATTATCAAAACTTTTAATTATTATTTACTTATTGCGAAATATCGTGAATTGTCTATTAAATAAAATTTTATGAAAAGTTTCGTAATGAGATGAACCTAACAAGATCCATTTTGATAATGTTTTTCTTTTTGGATTAAATTAAAATGCGGTTAAAGTTTAGTTAAATTATTAAATCACATCAGATTAGATTAGATAACGAAAATTCAGATTTGACCTTAATAAAAAGATTAAAAACAATTAGATCTCCTTAATTCAGGTGAAGAGAACAAGTTCTTAGCCTTTACTTTAAATTGAACTGCAGTGATATCTACATCAGCTCCTACTTCATATACTTTCTCCTCAAGCATGTCTGAGGAAACAGCTGCTACAAATTCATCCTTAAGCTTTTCCTGGGCTGCTGCCATCTCAAGCACTTATTCCCTGGCTTCAGCAAGTTGAACATCAAAAGCTCTGCTCAGCCCTTTAAATGTTCACTATTACCATGTCATCTGCTCAATTCCAATTTTTACTTCCTAGATTCAATTTTCAACTTGGTAATATTGTCTTTGAATTTTTGAGTCGTGCAGATAATCATTCAGGTTTGAATTTATGACACTTTCAGAACTCACTCACATACTTCACCTTTAACTCAAAGAGTGGCATGTTGGAAAGGGTTTCATAACAGGTTTGGGTTAGTCCACTATTCGAGCATTATTATAAATTCATCTTGTAGCTATTGATAGGTTATAGACCAACATTACAACTTTTAGACAGAAAACCCAAGTAATCGACTGATTGTTTAGTATCAGCTAGAACAATCAGCATGGTTGTAGCAGCTTGTTTTGATAGGCGTTGAAACCAGCCATGAAGATCTGGTGGTTTTTTATTGCTGGCAGCAAGTAGATGTTTAATTTTTAAGATGTAGAAAGATATAGATTAGTGTACAACGTATAATAACTTGTAATTGTTAATGGAGGTGATTAAAAATCACTAAACTCACTAAGGATGATCTTGGATTGGTAGAGCACTTGTGTTATTATCAAACTGATAGAGAATGAACTCAACCTGTCTGATTTTTTTCAAATGACAGCATATGTGAGACTGTGTATGGCTTAAAGTGTAAAGAATCCCAACTTCTAAATTACAGACAGTGTCGTACAAGTAGTTCATTTTTTTATTATTAGAATACCCAAATGATTAATTTCAGTTTTCTAAACTTTAATACTAGCAAGTTTGTGTCATGAAGGAGAGACAAATTTTGAGAGTTTTGTAATAAGAGTACAGAATATTTGGTATGAAATAAACAAACTTACAAAAGCATACATATTAGTGATGCTACTCCATTCATGCTTCGTCATCCCTTGTTTTAAAAATATTTATTTATTTATTTATTTTTATTCAGTGCTCTTAACACATATGCTTGAAAATATTGTTGTTGGTAAAATAATGACAGGCTACCAGAAAGTTGGATCAACTCCGAAGAACAATGCATAAGCCAGTCATTACACCTTTGATTACCTTTGATTGAGTCATTAGCGTCTGAGCATCAATGGCTGGTTGTTAATCCATGTATGTTTATCCCATCGAAGAACAGAAGCCGTCTACACATTGGGTGTTTGTTGTATCATTGGCCCAGTCATGTATGAGTAGTCAGGATATTTAGAGTATGTATGAGTAGTCACTCCTTAATTGGCATGAATAGGTGGTTTTTTCTAGGTGGTTTTTCCTGATTGATACTGCGACTAAAGTCTTGAAGTCTTGGTTGTTATAATATGTCGTTGCAGCCTCTACACGTTATTGTGCAGTTACTGCCTGTATACTGATTTTTTTTTTTTTAATACAAAAGAGTAAGCATACAAAACACGAGACTACTACTTATCTCTAGTCATACTTGCTAGATTTTGTGTAGTCTTACACAACATACAACTACTACAACAAATTAACAATGCTGAAAATTAGAAATACAAACACATAAACTATTGTTAAGCTTCTTCTTTGGATGATCGAAGAGATTTCCGAACGTACCACCCTTCCTCTTCATACCGGCATGAAAACTAGATTTAATGATAGGCTAGGCATAATTAGGTTACGGACACTTGCTTTGTTTCCGAATTCTTCCTCTAACTCTCCTCTTTTGATGATTGAGGGTGTTGGTCATGGCTTCGGAGAAGCTTTTCCTCCTTGATTTGCTCGAGTTCAGATGAAGGATGACTGATGCTTTGCCTAGGAGCCAGCAGACTACTATATTTCACTTCATGACCATGAACTTGATACACATCCTTGTTGTAAGGAATTTCATGAGGCGAGTGAACATGCTCTATTTTCTCATTAACAAAGGCACTTTCATTACAATTGATTGATGATGACTTGTTTTGATTGATGTCATCATCTGGAAACACACTCAAAGTTGGTATCGAGTGAGAGACCACTGCTTCCCTCAAACTATGTTTGTGGGGGGTCTCCATCATGATATGAATTTTTGGGGTGAAGGTATGTACCTTCAATATTAACAATGAATGTGGTTGATGGAGTCACAACTCTTTCCCTTGCCTCAACTTATCTATATCTGCAAAAGCAATTCTCAAGCAAGAAGATGGATTTTTTCGATTGACGAACGCCACCATAAAACTGCGAGGGCCAGAATTTGAACACCACCTTGAAATTTAGCCTTTCAAGTTGTCAATATCCATGGGATCTCTATCTCCCATATTATATGACCCATGGCTACCATTACAATAGTCTTTGGTAGCTTCAACTTCCGGCTTATCACAAATAGCCTCCACATTCTTCTCTTCCTTAGAACTTTCCATTCTTTTCATTTTCTTTTCATTGACTGTGCTTCTCTGATCCTCAACCTTATCTCTTCACCATTAAGATTCCTAAGTACAACATTCTCCAATCTTGCCAATTCCTTCCTCATTTCCTTGTTTGTTGGTTCAATCTCTTTTGCTGATTTAAAATCATCATACGCCCTTTCTAAAAATCCCGACTTCTCCAACGCTAATGCTCTTCTAAACATAGCCTTCAAATTATTCTTACTAGCCTCCAAAACCAAAGAACAAAAAGAATTGGCAACACTAAATTTATTTAGCTTCATTGCGCTTGCTGCAATATACAAATGAAGACATAGCAAGCTCCTTCAACTCAGGACTAAACTCACGCATCTGAGGGTCATCACTAATAGCACAAATTATAACACACAAGCAGAATTAAAATCCTTCAATTTGAGCAAAGAGTTTGTTTTCTTTTTCATATCAAACACATACGAAATAGCCCCTTCTGGACTACTAGTATTCTCAAACATCTCCTCAACATCAATGTCATCTTCCTCCATTATCTAAGTGATGGAGCATTATCCCTCCTAAACTCAAATGCACCCCCAAACCTAAAATCTAAAAACAGAGACCAAGGAAACTAACACAAACAGTAAGCTTAATGCCTCAGGGATTCACTGGTTCTGACATCCCCTCGCGCTACATTGCTTAAGCTCTTCAACCCATGATACAGCAGACAATAAGTTTAATGCCTCAGGTACTGTTCTGACAACCCATCACGCTATGTATCAGGAGCATTAGAAACTAAACCAACTTTCCAGTTCTATTTCACTTCCTGGAAAAGAGCATAAGCATCTTTGTGAACAAAGGGAGTGTTACCTCTGGAATTGCACTTCATTCAGCCTCATACAATAACAAAAACAGAGCATAAAATCTTGCCGCATATTTGGTCTCTGTAATCAGACTAATACTGAGGAGAGAGGACACTCAATTTACTAAATGCCTGTGGTGAATAATCAAATTATTCTTACATGCAAATTGCATAATCTGCAACTGTAACATAAAAAGTGAGCAGGCTAAGCAGCAACGATATACACGATAGGAAACAGCAGTACAACACAGGCAATGAAAATAAACCAAATACCAAAGACATCTCAATTACCCAAAGTAAGCGCAAACTCATTACATTTAAGAACTGGCAAAGAGACTACAGAGGTAGATGTTCATTTAGTAGACCAACTACCAACAAAATTGCAACGTCAAAAAAAAAAAGGGGAGAACATCCCAGACATAAGAAAACAGTGTACTTGGACAATGTAACCAACAAGTGAATCCATAAATTGTATTCACCAAAAAAAACTACCAAGTGTAACTTCAAGAAGTCCTCAAAGCTTGTCCTCAAACTCAGAAAGTGGGGTAATTGCTTCCTTCAATCCCTTCCTCTTACGGATGTTTGCAACAAGGGCTGAAGCTTGTGATGTTGGGTCCAGAGGATCCTGAGTCATTATTTCCCAATGATCAAACACACACTGTGGGAAAGCTTGACCAGAGGTTGCAGCTCTCAAAGTACTTGAAAATCCGAAGGACTCAACGACAGGAAGGTAAGCCTTGATGTTGTAGAGTGGGGTACCAGGTCGCTGCATTTCCTCAAACACATGTCCACGTTTCTGGTTAAGAACACTGTAGATACCACCAAGAGCTTGTTCAGGAGCTTGGATCTCAACAAGATAGATGGGCTCCATCAGCCTGGGCTTGGCAGTCAGCTGGGAAGCGTACATGACTCTCCTAGCGGTTGGAATAACCTGCCCACCTCCTCTGTGGATGGCGTCAGCATGGAGAACCACATCACAAACCTCAAAGCAGATACCTCTCATGTTTTCTTCAGCCAAAGCACCTTCTTTTGAAGCCCACTGGAAACCAGCAACAACAGAGTCCTTAATTTCATTGAGATACTGGACTCCCTTACACATATCAACCACCATGTTGGGACCAGTAGTTTCTGGACCAAAACACCAGATCTTCTTAGCAAGATCCTTGTCCCAGCCAAATTCCTCGGCCAAGATCTTGGAACGAACCTTGGGATCATCTCTTGGGCCAATTCTCCCTTCATCAATGGCCTCAGCAAGCCCATCTTCCATTGGACGGGCTTCCATGTATAAACGGTTGTGCTTATTGGGAGACTTGCTCATCACGGTGCGGCTTGACTTCTCAAGTACAGTCTCACGGAAGGAAACAACAGGGTCAGACTTGGTGATTTCAGCCCCACCCATGAAGTCATCTTGCAAATCCTTCAAACAGATCTCCAGATGGAGTTCACCAGCACCAGCAATGATGTGTTCTCCAGATTCTGTAATGCTACAAAGAACCATAGGATCAGACTTTGCCAGACGCTTCAGACCTTCAACAAGCTTGGGAAGATCAGACGCAACCTTACACTGCACAGCAACACGGACAACGGGTGAAACAGAGAACTTCATGGCTCGGATTGGGTGAGCATCCACTTCCTTCTCATTTGTAAGTGTGGCATTCTTTGTGATAAACTGATCCAAACCAACCATAGCAACAGTGTTCCCACATGGAACATCCTCAACAGTTTCCTGCCTCTTTCCCATCCAAATGACAGTTCTCTGGACATTCTTAACATAAAGATCTTTCTTCTCACCAGGAATATAGTTAGGTCCCATAATCCTAACCTTCATACCAGTTGACACTTTTCCCGCAAAGACACGACCAAAAGCAAAGAATCTACCCTTGTCAGGTGCAGGAATCATTTTTGATACATAGAGCATCAAAGGTCCCTCAGGGTCACAGTTCCTGATGGCAGTGGCGTACACGTCATCCATGGGCCCCTCGTACAAGTTCTCCACACGATATCTCTGAGCCGTTGCAGGTGACGGCAAATGATAGATCATCATTTCAAGCAAAGCACTGCTAGCTGGGAGCCAAGTCTGCATGACACGCTTCATCAATGCCTTACCCATCAATTCTTTCTCGTCACCCTTCAACTGGACTCCAAGCTTCGTCAACATGGGCCACAGTTTATCCTTCTGATCGTTCATGCAAGTAGCAATGACCTGCTTGATAGGCTCATAGCAAAATTGAACAAAACCACGTTTACATGTAGCTGTCCCAGTGTTCTTGGTGGTCCACTTCTTGGTGGCTGGGTCAAAAAAGTTCTCACCCCAGAGACGTTCCATCATCTTAGATTCATCAACACCGAACTTAGATGCATACATCTTAGCAAAGTTGGACAAAGTAAATGCCCACCCATGGAGACCAGCTGAGAAAGCAACTGTTCCCTTCTCAGGGTAAACTTGGACATCACCCAGAAGGGGATCTTCATAGGTAGCCATAATGACATTAGCATTCTCAATAACCTTCTGGAATGTTGTGTAAGCCTCCTCTCCGTCAACCTGGAGCTCAAGGAAGCAACGGTCCATCTTATTAACAGTAAGAACAGGCCTGATCCTCTCACCAAGAGCCTGGCGAAGGACAGTCTCAGTCTGGACACATACACCCTCAATACAGTCAACCACAACAAGGGCTCCATCAGTGATACGGAGAGCAGCAGTAACCTCTGATGAGAAGTCAACGTGCCCAGGGGAATCAATAAGATTGATCAGATAGTCATTGCCGTCACGTTCTCCCTTGAATGCACTCAAAGCTGCATCTGTCATCTCATAGTACAGAGAAATTCCAGTGGACTTGATGGTAATACCACGTTCAGCTTCATCTGCACGAGTGTCAGTCATACGTACATCACCAGCAACTTCCTGGGCAATGATACCAGCAGCAGCCACCAAAGAATCGGTGAGGGTTGATTTTCCTGAAAATAAGTATTAAGCAAAGAGTGTAAGGGTACAATGTTATCATGACAAAAAATGCATCAACAATGTGCTCAGTTTGATACAGATATGACATCATTACCAAACATATCAACAATTTAAGCGGAGTACATATTTTTTTGAACTTAATAATAAACTTGATGACAATAAAAATAAACAGGAAAATAACAAGGACTTGCAACAAACACATGAGCAAAGCATCTCATTTTGTTTTCATTATCTCTTTTGCATCCTAGAAGATTTGCGTCCTAGAAGAAAGCAAATATTAAGAATCTTCACAACATAACATTATGGCAAAATTCCAT